TTGTAAACATTAAGACACAGGCTTTAATAAATATAAGCAAATACTACAAAGGAAAGTAAAAACCAAATTGGCTGCAAAGATGGCTTTCTTCACCATAATGAACTCAAGTCGAATGGGTCTCACATGACTCGGTTTTGTTCACTACAAAAAGAAAAAATCTAACTTATGCTAACTGAGCTGCGATAAACTCGGCTGAGCCGAAAGTTCCCCCGAATTATCCTATGCAAAAGTGATTCGGTTCCAATCAGTCGTGAAATTGTTTGGTGCATTAAGACGGCTCTCTCTCTTCCTTTCGTTTCATTCCGTGGGACTGGCCCTGAATCATATTACATGCCTTCATCATATATTGACAGATTGTTACCAGCAAACGTAATAAGTCAAAATCAATTGCAAGCCCTTAGGCCATGGCGTATATTTTTCTGCCTTCTCCCTCCGTTTGTGTCCGTTGATCGATGTAATCGGAAATTTCAATATTTCTTTTCACATTTATTTACCAAAAGAAGCGACTTATACAGCGGCTTGAGGTTTATTTTTTCAGCCATAGTTTGGGAATCCATTCAATAAGCACATACAAATATTTAGTCTCGAATCTAAAATGTCAAGCTTTAAGGTAAACAAGAAAGGAAGCTGACTTCGGCACGTCGAAATTTGTATACCCTTGCAGATATTATTTCATTACATTTTACCTACACTTATTATGTTTTCAGTTTGACAGTTACAGTTTTACATTCCTAGCTTTACATTTTCTATACATCTACGGATCGCTTCTATGGCAGCGATTGTTAGACTTTCATAAAGTTTATACCAAAATTATAAAATAATAAATTAAGCTTATATCTCAGAGTAGATGAAAATACGTTGAGAAACAACAAAGTTATAATATTTTTTTTCTAAATTTCCCGATTGTTCCTACGGCAGCTATAAGAAATAGTCGTCCGATTTTTATAAAATTAAACTCGAAATTCTGAAATAATAAAAAATAGCCATATCCCAAAAATGATAAAAATATGTTGAACAAGAGAGGAAGCTAACTTCGGCACGCCGAAGTTTGTATACCCTTGTAGATTGGTTTTGATGTTTATATTATAGATTTAAATGCTGAAAACACTCACAAAACAGAGTTTCATTACATTTTACCTATACTTATTATGTTTACAGTTTGACAGTTACAGTTTTACATTCCCATCTTTACATATTCTATATATTCACCGATCGCTTCTATGGCAGCTATATGATATAGTTGTCCGATTTTTATGAAATTTATAATAAAATTCTAGAATAATAAAAAAAAGCTTATATCTTAGAGTAGATAAAAATACGTTGAAAAACGCCGAAGCTATAATTTTTTTCCTATTCATTTCCCGATCGTTTCTATGGCAGCTATGTATATCGTCGTCCGATTTTCATAAAATTTTTACGAAAATTCAGAAATAATATAAAATCTATAAATATTTGAAAAATGGTGCAAACATGTTTAAAAACAGCAAAGTTATAATTATTTTTCTAATAATTTATCGAGCATTTGTATGGCAGCTATATGATATAGTCGTCCGATCCGGCCCGTTCCGACATATATAGCAGTGAGAGTATATAGAAGACTATATGCAAAGTTCCATTCAGATAGCTTTAAAACTGAGGGACTATTTTGCGTAGAAACAGACAGACGGACATGGCTAGATCGACTCGGCTGTTGATGCTGATCAAGAATATATACATGTTATAGGGTCGGAAAGGACTCCTTCACTGCGTTGCAAACTTCTGACTGAAATGATAATACCCTGCCAGGGTATAAAAATACAAAATAAGAAAATCTGATAGCAGTTTACAAAAATTAAGTGCCAAATCAAGGACGGGATCATATATCAAAATCCAAGAGGCATGAAACACCAACCGCAACGCAGCATCACCATCCATTACTCAAACGCGGACTCTGAGATTTCGAAGGATGCGCAATTACCAGGCGAAGGAATAAAAATGGAAATAGGCTGCTGACTCGTTGAAAATTCGATGACAATTAATTACAGCGACGCGCGAAGCGTGAAAATGGAGGAAACGCCTGAGACAGAAAGTATAGGAATCGCTGGCCTGAGGGAGAAGAAGGCATAATAAATAAACGTTAGCAAATTATAAATTAATTCAAACGCATTTAATGAAGAAAAACACCAAAGCAAACAGAGAGAGAGCAGACTAAGTACACAGGGAAAATAGCCAAGGGACTGTACTAAAATTCATTCAAGGACACCATTTAATGAATGCCCTATCACTGATATGAAGGGTATTACCTATGTTTTACGGCATACCAACTTAGTTGAAGCCTCAAACAGCTGCTTGATTTTAATCGCTCTCATATTGTATGTAAATGTATTTTATTTTTTCCAGTGCCTGAGAAGAAGACCAGGGAGCAGCTGGAAGGGACAAGCCAAATGCAAATTCCCCGCAAACTAAACAACGAGGGACAGGACGGGCACAGAGCGCAGAGCGAAAAACTCGGGCAGACGCCTAAATTAAATAAATGAAATACATAAATAAAAACAGATGAGTCGACGTCTCAGTCTCAGTCGCAGCCGCAAAAGCTGGCCAAAAGGGAAACGGCCAAAATAAACTGTGAAAGGGCGATGGCGAGGGGTCATCGGCAAGCAGGCACATCGTTCCTCCAGGGGTCGATTAAATGTTACCCCGCAGGAATCAGCCAGCAGAAGTGACCCCAGTCAGCTCAGTCACACTGGAGAGGTCAGCATCGCTTTCCTAGTCGTTCTCCCTGGAACACAGTTACATGCAATATTGGAAAATGTCTTGTTTGATAGAGCCCCCTTCCCAGTTATAAAGTATATTTATTTTACTTTTTTATACCTCTATAATATTGCTTGACTTGCTAGCCCAAGCTACCTCAAAGTGGCCAAGGCCGGTTCCTTCTGAAGGCACATAAAATTACCAAAAATAAAAATAAGATGAACGGAGAACGAAGGAAACGAAACGAAGAGCGGCAGCAGCCAGTTGGAGAAGGAGGTAATGATGCCCCAGCAATTAATCAGTGAAATTGCAGGCGGAACATAATAAGAAATGAGCCAGCCGCCAGTCAGGACGCAGAAGGTGGCTTTAAAAAGTCAAACCAAAGACCTGCCTTTCCCTTAGGCTTTTGGTGCCACAAAAGTATGAAAAACGTTTTTTTAAATAAACAAATTTAAATCATTTACGTGACACAAAAAAACAAAGTTGATTTAGATAAATATTACATTATTTCGTTAATTATTTTATTCAAAAATCGTATAAAACAAATTAAATTTTAATACATTTATCACTTGAATTCGACAGCCGAAAGAAATCGAATCGAAAACGATCTGGAAAACGCAGCAATGGTAGCGGTAATTGTTTATACTAAGCGCTTTATTCTTTATATATTTTTACACCCTTAGGGTATTATCGTTTTTATCAAAAATTTGCAACGCAGTGAAGGAGACACTTCCGATCACATCCGAGTCGATCTAGCCATGTCCGTCTGTCCGTCCCTTTGTCCGTTTCTACGCAAACTAGTCCCTCAGTTTGTAAGCCGTCTCAAGGAAAGTTTTCAGACAATCTTTTGATGCCCTTGCAGGTCATAATATGTTATGAATGTGTTTATTACTTTGTTTTTGTCTAGCATATGTATATATTTATCATGTCTATTATATAAGATATTTTAATTCTGAAGTATAGTTATTTTATACAAGATTTGGCCAGGCGAAATTAGCTTCCTTTCTTGTTACTAATTAAAGAGGTCATCGTTGAGGTTCCTGTGAAAATTACCTTGCTTCAGGAATAAAATAGTCTTTCGTTAGCTCTAAAGAGTATATACACTCATAAAAATATTTTTCTAGATTTAAGAATATATTCTGAATTTAGAACTTACTAAATAATAAATCCAAAGTTCTTTCTCCCCTTCCTCGAAATGTTAGCGATAGGCGTAAATTTCCTATGTAAATTAAATTAAATACCAATAAATCATGTGAAATTTTAACTAATTTGTTCCCCAAGCGGAGGACTCACTGTACCCAAATATGTATATATATATTTTATTTATGTGTAAATTACAGATGCGACCGGCTGTAACTTCTGCCTGATATCTGCATTCCTGTGGTCGTAAATCGTTTCTGCTCTCCGCCATCCGCTGGATTTATGCTGCGAAATGCGAAAATCCCTTCCATCGGCGAGAATGCCCACCCCCCCTGGCTGACACGCCTTTGTGGTATACCGTTGCCACCATATTTGTCAGTTACAAAATGGCTGCTAGATGCCAAGTCTAACGGTTTTTACGGCTGCCAGTTGTTGTTTTGTTGTTACATTTCAAAACATTTTTGACAAACTCAGCGGAACGGACAGGGAAAATCGAGGACGGTGGCTAGAACGGAAGGGGGTTTGAATTTTCCCGCAAGCGTTTTCTACAGGTTTGTGCGTGTTTCAAGCTGAACGCCTTTTGCGTTTGGCCATTTCCTTTTGACTCGACGGACTCATCCGCCGCTTTTCATTTTTATTTTCCATTTCCATTAATATTTTCCAGCCAACAGGCTGAAAACTCAGGCAACTGGAATTGCTGTTAAACACTTTTCCATGGTTAAAACCATTTGAATACTCATTGATACATAATATTATAGTCCCCTTATACTAGCTGACCCCCTGAACTTTGTATCGTCCTAATTTATTTTAACAACTTATGTCACATTTGAGATAGCTAATATTAACATGGTTAATAAACTCTTCCTTGTTTTTTTAAGTAATTGATCTATTAATCTTGTTGAGAGCACGGATGATTGGCGTAGAGTTATTAGATGTTCGACAAATTTATATAGCAGTCACTTTATTTATTTCATTAAGTTTTACAAAAAAATGCGCAGCTTTAAAAAACTTTGTATTTTATCCCAGGCCGGTGCTTTCTCAAGTGGCCAGATACATTTCCAGGAAAAATACCTTCAATTCTTAGAAACTCAATGGTCACACCTTTTATCGCCCAGCTAAAGATTCGGTATCTATTTTATGGCGGTAACATTCCCCCCCCCGTGAACGTCCTTCGGATCTTCACCGTCTTTTAGGCCGACGTCTAGGATAGCAATCTTGGCCACTGGGCGGACCATGATTCCTTTCGGTGTCCAAATTGTAGCTCGTCGAACTTGGCCATCTTTGGCCGTCACTACTTCAGTGATGCGTCCTTTGGGCCACATGTTCCTTGGAAGTTGATCGTCGACTACTATAACAATGTCGCCGATAGCTATTGGGGGACGTTTGGTGAACCACTTGCTACGTCTGGTCAAGTCTGGGGTGAATTCCTTCACCCAGCGGCTCCAGAACTTGTCCGCGAATAGTTGAGTCTGTTGCCAACGCAGCCTTAGATCGGTGTTGTCGTCTGCCATGCGCTTATAGCCGCTCGTCGATCCCAGAAGTAAATGATTTGGGGTGAGCGCTTCGTCGTCGCCTGAATCTAAAGAGACAAAGGTTAGTGGTCTAGAATTGATGACGTTTTCTGCTTCCATAAGAGCTGTTCGAAGGGTCTCGTCATTGAAGTTACTAGTTGGGCAGATTGATTTCAAAACAGTCTTAACTGATCTGACGAGTCGCTCCCAAGCACCTCCCATATGCGGTGCCGCTGGTGGGTTGAAGTGCCATTTAATCGCCTCATACTTTATAGTGATTTCGTCAAAGTCAATCTTTTTGAGTTCTTCTTTCACCATCTTCTCAGTTGCTTTAAAGTTGGTTCCGTTGTCGGAGAAGATTTCTTTTGGAGTCCCGCGACGTGTCATGAAATTTCGAAGACACATTATACACGAGCTTACATCAAGTTTATAGGCCACTTCTATATGTACGGCTCTCAGTGTCAGGCATGTAAAGAGGACTCCCCATCGTTTTTCCTTGTGTCTGCCGACGTTAACTAGTATGGGACCAAAGTAGTCAACTCCTGTGTATGTAAAGGGTCTCTCGAAGGAGGCTAGTCGTGCGGCTGGTATTGCAGCCATTTGAGGTACTTCGGGCCTGGATGTGGCGATTTTGCATTTTTGACAGGCCTTCCGAACTGTTTTATACAGCACTCGTAGACGAGGTATGTAGAAGTCGTTTCTTATGATATTTATTGTCGATTCGTGCATTATGTGATGTGATTTTTCATGGAAATCTTTCGTGATCAAAAATGCAATTCGAGACCTCTTTGGCAGAACGACAGCATCGTCAGGATTTATGTTATATTTTCTTCCCTGAACACGTAGCACGCCTTCCTCATCCAAGTAGACATTCAGAGCAATCAAAGGACTTGATTTGTTCACGGCCGTGTTATTTTTGAGAGCAGTGATTTCGGCATAGTATGTCCTAGATTGTGCCTGTTTATATATCCACGACTTCGCTTTGCTTATGATTTCGGGGTCTAAAGTTTTTGGCAGTGGATTTCCAAGACATTTAGCGCGTATTCTTTTAATGTATAGCATAAAGGTTGCCACGGCTCTATACAGGCGTCTCCAGTCAGAAAAGTATTCCTCTGCAAAATCAAAATGCTTTAGTTGGTTTATAATGAAGACATGCTTACGTAGCTCCGTCGGTTCGCCACTTTCGAGAGTAATGTCTTGTTCTGGCCATTCGTTTTCTGGCTTGGCTAGGAACTGGGGACCTTTTAACCAGCGATTAGCGTTAGGAGATTTGATAAACTTTGTGGCTGAGTCTGCAACATTTTCCTTGGTCGGTATCCAGCGCCATTGAGCTCGACTTGTGTGATCTATTATCTCCCCAACTCTATGCATGACAAAGGCTTGAAATTTTCGAGGGTCCATATCCAGCCACTGCAGTACTGTTTTTGAGTCTGACCAGTATGTGCTTGAGTTAATGTTGAGCCTTCTAATATTAATAACTTTTTTGGCTAAGTTCACTCCCATTACTGCTGCCAGGAGTTCCATGCGTGGTATTGAAACTGGCTTTAGCGGGGCAACCTTACATTTAGCTGCTACTAGGACTGTGTCGATATCGGCTCCCTGCTTGATACGAAGATACGCAACTGCTGCGTAGGCGTACTCGCTCGCATCTACAAATGTGTGCAAATCAATCTGGTCAGCATTCGGTAGCAGAGTTGAGTAGAAGCGAGGAAATTCCAATTTAGCAGCTTGAAGAAGGACAGTTTTCCATTGTCGCCATGATCCGAGTAAAGTGTCGGGTAATTCCTCGTCCCAGTCTATGCCTGCACGCCATACTTTCTGCAGTAGCATTTTAAGACCGATTGTGTAACATGATAGCAGGCCCAAAGGATCGAAAATGGACATCAGAACTTGTAGGGCTTCACGTTTTGTTGGTACAGTTTCTCCGTTTAGTACGTCTCTTTTAAGTCTCGCAAATCTGAAAGTATACTTAAAAACGTCGTTCGAGGGTTCCCAATACATACCGAGAACCTTCTCGGGGTCTCCAAGCTCTTTGGGGTTCTGCTCGTCTATTTGGCGCTCTCCAAAATGCTTTAGGATGGCGGTAGAGTTTGAGATCCAATTTCTAATAGTGAAGCCTCCCTCAGCATGGATGTCACGGACTTTTGTGGTTACTGCGATCGCCTCAGAGTCGTCGGTGTAGCTGTCTATGAGATCGTCCACATAATGAGCCTCTGTTATAGACTCGAAAGCTCGGGGACACTGATCTTTGAACTCCTGCGCGTTTTTGTCACGTACATAATGAGCAATGCAGGGCGCGCAGCAGATACCAAATGTCATTGCACGCATGACGAATATACGTGGAGTTTTATTATTCTTATGAAGCCACAAAAATCGTTGAACATGCATGTCGCTCTGCTGGATGATAATTTGGTGGAACATCTCAGCGATGTCCGCGCACACGCCTATACGGCCCACTCTGAATGCCATTAGGACTTCGGTTAGCGAGTTTAAATAATCCGGTCCATTTAGCATAAAGTCATTGAGGGATTTGCCGTGGCTCTTTGCAGCTGCGTCCCAAACTAGTCTTATTTTATTTGGCTTGTTTGGATTTAGTGCGATAAATATAGGGAGGTACCATACACGGTTTGTGTCCTCAGCTATATCTGCGGGTTGCAGTTCGATCGCGTAGTTTTTTACGACTAAGTTGTCAATCTGATTTTGAATTTGGTCAAATAGTTCTGGATTTTTGTTAATTTTCTGTCTTAGGCATTCGAGGCGTTTAAGTGCGGTTGAGTAGCTCTCTGGGAGAATTAAATTCTTGTCTCGCCAGAGCAAGCCAATTTGATATCTACCGTTTACTTTCTTGCATGTTTCCTCCAGAATTCCTTTAGCCTTTTCGTCGTCTTTGGAGAAGAGCTCTCGCGGTGCGATAGGATCTGCGTTGAAGCTTTCTCTTACTGCCTTTTCGATGTCGTTCCAGTTGCAAACGCAGTGATGGAAGGAATAATTTCTGTTGGCGTTGCTTGTGCCTTGAATACTCCATCCGAGAGTACACTTTGAGGCGATGGGCTCGTTGCGTCTTCCCTCACGAATTTTGCGAGGAACAGCCAAGGTCCAGTTGTTAGCGCCAATTAGTAGCATCGGTTCAGCATTATAATATGATTTTATTGGCAATCCGTGTAAGTGATTATATCTGCCGACGAGTTTATTTACATCGACAGTTTGCTTTGGTAGCGCGAGGTGCTTGACTGAGTGTACGTTGTTAAGCCACAATTTTCTTCCACTCCCCATCTCCGATATTTGCATTCGGGCCTTGAAAGACGTTTCCTCTGTACGGGTGGTGTTGCTGGTCCACTGCAAACAGAGTGGTTCGGGTGATGTGCAAACTTTGAGGTGTTTTAGAATTCCTTCGTCGATTAATGTCACAGATGAGCCCTCATCCAGGAACGCATACGTGTTGATCCTTACTCCGTTTCCATACAGAGTCACTGGCAAAATTCGAAAGTATTGTTCTTCGAAGTCTGCTTCCTTATGATGAGCACTGACGAGTTCGGGCCTAGGTGCGTCTCTATGGAGAAGAGGGTGGTGCTTCGATTGGCAATTATCAACACCGCAATCACGTTTGGAGAAGCATTTACGTCGGTGAGTCTTCAGGCATCTGTAGCAAGCTTTGGCATCGCTGATTCTACGCTGTCTCTCCGGAACTGTCAATTTTAGAAACTTCTCGCATTGGGCGGCGTAATGTTCGGTAGAGTTGCACATGACGCATGCGGGGTTTGGTTTGGCGTCTTGTTGCTGATCGTCTTCGGAGTCACTCATTGCTTGGTGCTTTTCTCCGGCAAATGCTTGTGTATGAGTGTTCACGCTCCATGAGTTTTGTCCAGGCATGACTGTGGAGGCGGCTTCTGCTAGATGATATATCCAGTCGCTAAATGACTTAACAACAGGGATGGAAGGACTGCGCGGATGCAAGGCCCAACTTAATTTATGTTGAGTGGGCAACTTGTCAACAAGTTCACGCAGAAGCATTGGGTTGTCAAGATGTGCGTACAGGTTGCAAGCCTCCATCGTGGCGCACGCGTTGCGGACCGCCATTGCAAAGTCTATAAGGGACTCTAGTTTGTCTTTGTGTACAGTTATTTTACGAATTTTATCGATCAGACGGTCAAGGATCTGCTCCGGTCGCCCAAAGAAGGTTTTTAGGGTGTTGATTACCTCTGGGACCAGTGCCGGCAGTAACAGCTTATCTCGTACCAATTCATAAGCCTTTCCTTTGAGAGACTTCTGGAGCCGAAGCATATTTTCTGCGTCCGAAAATCCGGCTACCGAGCTGCTGTTCTCGTACATGCTTATGAAGATTGGCCAGTCTGCTGGGTTGCCATTGAAAGTCGGCAGGTCCGCTGGTAGAATTTGCCTTGCTGCTAGTTGAGATGAAGTTGGTCCAAATAATTGGATGGGCCTTTCCTGCATCCCCTGCTGCTGTGCCAGTATTGCGTTTTTCTGCTCGATATATTTTCTTTCAGATTCACGCGTTTCTTCCAGCATCGCCATCATTAAGTTGTTTGAAGTTTGAGTAAATGATGTCTCCGCCGGCTTATTCGAATTGGGTTCCATTAACAATATGGCGGCATCTTTGTTTGGTGCGGCGTTTTCCGATTCGTTTGGCTGTATAGCGGCGCGCGTCGATGTTGAGGAAGAGCCGTCGACATGTATGCACAAGTTGCACGTCCATCGTACACGCGCAATAGAGTCGTCTACTCCAGCGCATGCGAAGTGGTACCATTCCTTGCAAGCGTCGCACTGCACCCAATTTTGGACACCATTTGTTAGGCGGCTCTTATTGCAAGATTTGCATAGCGTTATATCTCTTTCCGGAGCCATTTTCAGTAGTTCGTTTTACTGTGTGTACCTGGCGTGATCTATTTCATCGAGTTCCTATACATATGTATCTACCTAGCCCTTATACACGTATATGGTATGTATGTTGGCTTATATGTATGTATGCGGGCGTCTCAAAATGAATTTCACAATTGGTTGGCGTCACTTGTAATTGCGGCTAAGTTTTAGCGTTTATAAAGTTTTTTAAAGAAATGTTGAGAGCACGGATGATTGGCGTAGAGTTATTAGATGTTCGACAAATTTATATAGCAGTCACTTTATTTATTTCATTAAGTTTTACAAAAAAATGCGCAGCTTTAAAAAACTTTGTATTTTATCCCAGGCCGGTGCTTTCTCAAGTGGCCAGATACATTTCCAGGAAAAATACCTTCAATTCTTAGAAACTCAATGGTCACACCTTTTATCGCCCAGCTAAAGATTCGGTATCTATTTTATGGCGGTAACAAATCTCTTGTTATTATTGGAATGTTAAATATATTTGGTCAGCGCGTTTTTAGCTAATACAAACCGACTTCATGCCTAAGCGGAAACATACAAGGAATACATACATACATATACCGCAGAGAAAACGCCCTAAGGCTAAGAACATTTTTCGAAAATTAAGAAAAGGTTTCCATGGATTTAAGATACTCTATTCTTGGGTTAATTTACCTATTTTCCGCAGATTTTTTTTGGATTTTCTTCGGTCAGTTTCTTTTTTAATATACAGACGAAAAAAAACGAAAGAAAGTTCAATTTGGAATGCTCATATCTTCTACAAAGAAAAAACCTAAAATTATTTTGATTACAAATTCGCAATCCTTGAAAAATTCTCTGTTTGTATGGTTTAACACGTTTTTGCGAACTTTTCATATTTGTGCAATGCTATTTGTTTCAGAAGCGCTACTGTGCGCGGGTGCAATACACTTAGTTTATAAACATCGCATTGAGATTATTAATTGTATTATTTAATAATTATCGACTTGTCAATTTTAGAAGCTTCTCCCACTGAATTACGGAACTTTCGCGACTAAAAACTCCTGATCGTAGGGCTGTGCGCCTCTCTGATTCCAAATTTCAGTCGAGCTGTGTCACTCATTTGGAAAATAAACTATAAGTCTAGTTTATATCTAAAAGCCTAGGTGAAAATCATAACTCAACATTAATCAAAAGAAAGGGCTTTACAATTTTGTTTGGAAACTCAATGTCCCATTTCTCATTCCCAGTTCCATTCCCATGCCGGATACCATTCCGGGACCCCTCAGACAAGCGCCATTTTTGGAACCACGGCGACCATGGACCATGGCATTCGGTGGCGCCCTGGGGACCAATCCACTGCCTGGTCAAACTTTTCTAGTGTCAGGTTCGGTCCAGGCCGCAGGCCACAAACAAACACATGCCTAATGAAGCGCACTCCGAGTGCTGTGGCCCGTCTGAGTTCCGGCACAGTGGGGTTTTTTGTTATTGATATTAATTTTTTGTATAAGTCCTTCTGTTAAAAACATTTAAGTGAAGATCTTTGAGCTCCTAAGCGGTAGCCCCAGCTTCTTAAAGAATACGTACAATACTGTGTTCGTATCGAGTCGAGAGTCGATATGTACCTCTCAAAAATAACACTATAGTCGTCGACTGAAATGGCCTGTGGGCTTTGCTACTTCGAGTAGCAAGGATTACACAGCTCAACTTGGTTTTGTCATTGCGTTCTGTCCATAATTTTACGACTTCTTTAGTTTCAGATGTATAAAATGGAGGACCCCTATTTATGACTATATCTGTTGGGGCAATTTGCGGACCACTGTTGACCCCTTCCATTTCCATTTCCATTTCCAGTTCCAGTTCCACTTCCACTTCCGACCCCACACCGACACCATGTTCTGGGCCTGTCATCATGGCTGCCATTGTTGTTGCGCGCCGGCAGTTGTTGTTGCTAAGTTGGCAATACCCACTAATTTATGCGCATTCAAGTTTAAATTGCAAATGCGTGCTACGTGGACCAGCTAGCTCCTAGGGGTCAGGTGGAGGCAGATGTACACTTGAAAAATATATGAATAAGTGTTCAAAGACAACTTTACTTAAGGGGGGATATACATGTAAACCAAAATTGTTTGGCAAATTTTTTTTTTGGTTTAAAAAATAGTTTATTACCTAAATATACTGTTTAAGTTTCATTATCGAATTCCAACTTTAAGTGCCTCAAATATACTTGATTTGAGATTCACTAGTGTTCACTAGTGTTAACGTGGGCGCATCAAAAACTTTAATCGACATTTTCTCAGCTTCTAATTTTGGCATTTCTACCTAGGCTATGGACACGATTCACAAAAAACTACGTAACATATCGGAGTGAATCAAAAATTATTATGTTCAGCATGAAATTATCTTCAATTTGAACCTAAATGGTTGTTATAAAACTTAGTATTACTATTTTTGAAGAGGGTGGGAAGTGAAAACTGATCACCTGAAAATGGCATTTTTTCCTTCAAATCAAAATTTAATTTTTTTGTCTTGATTTCTTTTTGGCTTTTAGGTTCAAATAGAAGATAAAGGTGTAATGAATACAAAAAAATTTAGTTTACGGATTTCGGACAGGAATTACGAGCTCTATCGTGTCCATAGCACGGCAACTCAAAGCTCGAGGCGCTACGGCTTATGTTCCATAAGTTCGCCATTTTGTAAAACATTGTTCATAACTAATTTTTTTTATCATCTCTGATTATACTTTTAACTATATCCAAAGTTTCACGACGATTGCTTGACTATTTCTTATAAAAAATTACGAAAAATGGCCAAATTTTGACCGCTTACATGTTTATCCCCCCTTAAACATATCTGCCAGAGAAACGATCGTAAAAACAAAAGTAAATTAATATACAAATTTAGATTATTTCGAAGCTGTTTTTCTATATTATTTTTATTTATGTTTGCATCTTGTGTGTATTAATTACCCTATTAGCTATCATAGGAACGATAGGTCAATTTATATGAAAACAATAGTTCGGTCCTTAGACCCTTATATTATATATCTCCCAAGTCATGTTTTTTTCCTTTTTTAATATGACCGAAATGGATAGATTTTAAATGAACCAATTACAAACTGTAAGAGTATGCAAACTTCGGCTGCATACATTTATAAATTAAAACAAGTTAGAAAGCTACAGTCCCATGTGCTCAAATGTAAGATACCCAGCACCCATAGCCTTGTGCGTTTAATAAGGCAGGTACTCACCTCCTTATTCGCAGATTTTTCTTGTCAGAGTGTATTATCTATATAGTATTAGTTAGGACTTTAAATTATTTGTTAGGACGAAAACGAACTTGGCAACTCTTATAATTTAAGATAACCGATAGCATACAAAGAGACGGACAGACGAGCTGACATGGCTAAATCCACTCGGCTGGTGATGGTGATCAAGAGTATACACACTTTTATCGATCGCAGATGCAGAAGATGCAGCAAGAGGCCTGTTACATGCATAAGGTACCCTTTGGGTGCCAGGTATAAAAATCCACAAAAATATTATTATTATTCCACTTAATAATGACAAGAAGCATGATTGGATTCCAAAAGAGAGCTAATCGGAAAACACAATTGGAAATTCTAGTGCAATTCCAACGGAAAATGCTGCGCTGAAGCTGCAGGTTTTCTTTGGGTGCATTTCAATAAATGTAAAAGTTCTATAGACCCCAGGACAAGTCCCAGCTGTGGTTACGATCGTTTACAAATTCAATACCCAAATCATCAGACCACTTGCTATGTATTGCCTTTTTTCTTGGTACTTTACCTTCCATCTAAGCTAGAACCCGTTGGGAATCCTAAGCGTCGATGCGAAGGCAAAAGCAAACCTCGAAAATCGACAATTGAGTTTGTAGAACTTTTACAAATTCTTATCAGTTATAGGTCGATGCTAACAAAAACAAATATTTAAATAAAAGTTTTTTAATTAAATCATTTCATGTTTTAAGGATACCATTTGCTGGCGCCTCAAATTTGTTTTCGGTGTGGCTGTAGTGAAGGCTGTAACTGCCTCAAAACGTTGACGTTGACCAAATTGGGCATTTTGTTCGATGGTCAGTTGATGGGTTGAGTAGCAGACCATGGGGATGGGGTTTTTGGGGGTTCTTCTGAGGGTGGTGGTGCAGCTGTCGAGTCGAGAGTGTGTTCTGCAATCACGCACACACACACACACACACACACACACACAGAAGGCTGGGGCCGAAAATGCATTCCATGTTTATTGTATTGCATTTTGCTGTTCCCGCTGCCCTCGTTGGCATATGCACATATCGTTTGTACGCACGCACTGTAGTTAGCTCCGCCCACTTTTCCCGCACTGCACCGCCCCGGGGGGACATTTCCTTTTCCTCGTGCTTCCCTTCCCACCATTTAAATTCAAATGGACCCGGGACATGTCTCTTGATATCTCGCAGTGCCTCTGGTCCTTTGTTCTATGGTCATATGTGTGTGCTTTCGTTGCCTATCTGGCAGCTTTTTATTTTTGTTTCGGTAGCGCGTGTTCCCCAGCTACTTCATTTTACAAAACAAGTGTATTTTTCTCCCGAAAATAAAAAGTAATTTTTAAAATCGAAAAATTACATACCCTTTATGGATTTGACAATAATCAAAATAATTATCTATGAATAATTAGATATCGACTCGTCTTGCTAGATTACTTGATATATTTGTACTGTTGGTTGTAGGTTGTCTAAGGAAGTATTATTATAAATTAGTATATGTCGGCGAGTTGGTTGCTAAGTGCAAATTTGGAAAGCTTGTTGCTATGGCAACAGAACTATTCGGCATGCTCAGGTATTGGTAGCCTGTAGGTGTCGCTGGCGCGCAGGCGCAATGACAGTTGAGTCGGTAACAGGAGTGTTACTGAGTGAGGTCTGTTCGTCTGTCGCAACAATAGGAGAGAATGAGAGAGACAGCTTGAGATTGTCTAGGAATGACATCTGAGTGAAAAGTAAGAAAAGGTGAAAGGGCCACAGGAAAAGTGGCGTGA